TGGGTAGATGACACTACTTCTATAGTGTCGGCGCAACATGACAAACAGTAAAACAGTACCATAAATGTTGCAGACTTGCTAACAAGAAGATATCAGACAAATTCTTCATCCAATACTCTTGTGATTTGCTTTCCCATTGATTTTTTTAACATCCAATTTGATTGACAAATTTCGCCAAATCAAAGCTGAATAAAATTACGTGCAATAAAGGTCACTGAATGGTTTCTTTCATTCTTCCTCATAAACATTCGTTTAAATATTTTGAATTAAATATGGATTTCTTTCAAAAATTCTCTCCATTAATAATGGTCCTCACTTTCTTTGTCTTCATCTACAACATGTTGATGTATTACAACTGTCAGATAAAATAAGCTGCTGGATCGTGACATCCTCAACACGACAGTCCAATTCACCAAATCATTTCAATACGCTAACGAGTTAATTAACACCACAATCATTTACTGTAAAACAGAGTGAACAGCTGTTATTACTTCTATCAATGATCGGCCATTGATATGTTGTATCGATCGATATACTTAGCGATAACATAAATCATTAACCATAATATATGGGATTTGCACATCAATAATTTCTCTTATATTTTACTGAGCTGAATTATTTCCAGAGATATATTCCACTTACAGGTACTTTTCATCATGGTTTGGAACATACTAAACTGAAGCTCAGAGAAGAATAATCGCTTTTTGTCAAACACAGTAACTCAAAAGTGTAGGTCGGGGTATCTAGCGAAAATTAGTCATTGTTGGAAGTACGATGAAATTCAAGTCAGTAATACACCTTTAGTTCTCGTTAGGACTCTTTTTTTATGGAACTGTTGTACGTAAATCATTCCAGTTAGCGCATTTTGCTCATATGTTTCTTTAACATATTGGCCTCAGTGCCAGTGTCAACTGAATGAGATTTTGTGGTTTATCAGTTTAAAGTTTCATTTTTTTTATTTGACCAATTGCCCTTACTGTCATTTAGCCCACTCAAAGCAATCCACACGGTACTCAAAACTGGTTGGTACTAGATTTGAAACAATTGGTCTCTTTAATAAATTTCGATAATATCATTAGAAGACAAAGATAATCTGAAAAACGTGCTGTACTTGTGCAATACATTTTGAACAATCTGCTGAAACATTTACTTATCAAGTCAAGTTAAGTATGAAAATTAAAAAAAAATTGAAGAATTAAAATCTCCTTGAACTGTTAAGCGGTTAGATAAATTGTCTAACCACAAGTACAAAATAGCATCTGAAAAAGTGAAACTGAAATTTTATAAATCACGTAGATCTAATCACACATTCTCAAGACTATTCTATAAATCTCCACAATGTTCAAATTGCATCCCAATGTGTCAAATATTATTCGTCCTACAAACTCTCATATTAGATGCAGAGAGAATTTATGTGGATTAACCGATCTTCATGTTTCTGCCTCTTCTGTGCTGTCGGACATTTCTCTAGTTTACTGAATCAAATTGATCAGTTGTATAGTTTCGTTATGATTGAAACCAAGGCGGAAGCTAAGGGAAAGTTATCAAAATCTTGTATCATTGATCTTCACATACAATCACTTCCACTAAACCCGAATGAGTCTATGAAGAACTTGTCTTCAGCCGAATTTTGGTATGTGAGAAAGAAGGTCTTTCCCTTGAATTCAATTTTCCGCTTCTATACTATCACAGTAATGATTTAGCCATCGATGACCATTTTGAAAATATATATGATCACTTAAGTTCGCTGGTTTCTATCTCTTCTGATAACTAGAGTTGATTGAAGGCTGAACTAGTTGATATTGTCCATCAACTCCATAATCCAGGTCCGAAACAGAGCAGGATTTTAACTACGCAACGCCTTAAATCCCTGAAAAACTTACAGAATAATCATGATACCATGATTCTTAAACCCGATAAAGGATCAGATGTTATGTTGATGAACAAAGTAGAGTACAAGAATAAAATTTTATATATTCTTTGTGATGAAAGCAAATTCATGGTAGTTGTTTCATGAAAGGATATTAGAAAATTGGGAGGAAAAGTAATATCTAGTCTTGGTAAACTCCTTAATATGGATATCATTGCTAACGCGGAGTTCAACTTCTTAAAACCCATGAGATCTCAGTTTCCAAATCTATATGAACTTCCAAAAATTCACAAAATTAACAATCCACTACGCCCAGTATTTTCAGTGTGTCAGTCTTTCACACATAAATTGGCGAAATAGTTAGCCGGAATACTGAGCTCAATTCGTAATGTTTTATGTAAGTTTTCACTGAAAGATACTTTCGAACTTGTTGATTGTCTTAGTGATATGAATATCAGAGATAAGAAAATGTAGTCTTTTGATGTTAACTCTCTATTTGTGAATGTACCCCTAACGAAGACAGTTAGTATTCTTTGCGACTATATATCCTTGAATCATCTTTCTTTCCCTATTTGTCAAGTGCATTTGAAAGGGCTATTTTTGTTATGTACTGATTAAGATTCTTTCGCTTTCGAAGGTGAGCACATTCGGAAAATTAATAGTGTTGCTATAGAGAGTCAGTTAGGACCGCTATTAGCTAGAGTATATATGTCACATGCAACTAATAGCTCAGGATTTAATAAGTATTGTCACATTCTATATAAGTATGTTGATGATATCATTTTATAGTGTGATACAGATGAGGATGCCGAGGTATTGTTAAACAGGCTTAATACCCTACAAGATCATATCAGCCTAACATATGAGGAAGAAAGTGACCATCAGCTTTCATTACTTGATATACTCTTGTGTCGGAGAGAAGACGAATCTATCAGACGACCAATCTATAGACAGTACTTGAGCTTCTACATATTTTGTCCAGTGAAATATAGAAGAGGCTTAGTGTAATGCCTAACTAATAGGATCCAGTGTATTTGCACACCTGATAAAATGGATGGTAAGAGCGAATTTCTGACAGACACACTTATGGAAAACGGACATCCAATGCAGTTTTTGAACCGGTGGGCATAACAGCTAACCCCGAAGCCTACAGCTTCCTCTGTCCCGAAGAAGGATATATTTCTTAAAGTCCCATACAAAGGGGAAACTAGTAGTATGCTATCGGAACACAGATTAAAGTCCGTTATCAGTAAAGCATACTATGCAGCAGCTCAGCTTATGATTGTTGAGACAACAAGACACCTGCTTCGTCATACGCCTCAACTTCGCATAAATGATTATGTCACATTCCACTAAGTTTACCAATATACATGTATGTGTGACCACACATGCATTAGAGACAGCAATCCTGCTATGCGGACCCCTCAGTGCATATACAACGAGGTGCTAAATTTGTTTATGGTTAGCACTTCAACAAAATTAAGTATGCACCCCACTCTTTCTATACAAAATTGTAAAGGCTGTTTAATATCAACCCTACGACCTTTCTCGATGATGTGCTTTGCCATGGATGATGATGGTTTTCTGCCATCTGTGTTAATCGGTGTTTATGAATCCAGCTGCTTTTGTAGCCAATTTGGCTCATGTTCCCCTACCCTCAAGTATGTATCTCGATTAGTCCTCCCCATGTATCGGATAATCTATGTCTTCTTATTATATGAAATATGTGCCGACTGCTCAATTTGTTTTATGGATCAAACTTCGATATTATTTGAGGTCAAACTGGATAAATATTGAAGGTCAGCCAAGGTTTAGTCAAGAAGGACACAAGAATACAAACAATTAAAAAAGCGTTCAGTCGATGCGTAGGTTAAAAAAAATGCTATCGATTTGAACAGTGTCAACATAACCAAGTTTAATATAAATAGACGAAAAATAGGAATTACAAAGAAATCAATTTTCAAGGATATCACCCCAAGTATATGTTACATAGGTAACAGCCTGATTGTTAACCGCATGGGACAGTAACGGTTAGAAAAACGAAGTACCGAAACTCCATATACATATTTCCTTTATCAAACTAGTAAAATGAAAATAAGTTATTCACAAAACTATCGGTAAACGTAAGATTTCAAACGCAAATAATGCTTCGACTATGAATAGTAATTCTGCACAAAATAATTTAATGCTACAGAAACCTGATTATCGTGGATGGACATTCATTTTCAGATGTAATTAGGATGAAAAAACAAACTAATATTTAACCTTGAAACTATCCTCAAAATTTTTTATGACATGCGAGAGTATAATCAAAGCCGGTAATAGTTGTCTCTTAAAAAATAAGTACGTAGAATTCACTCAAAAGTTAACCATTATTATTATTTTATTATTTGTTCCTCAGGTTCCTAATGGAACATAGGGCTTTAGTAGCACGTCTCCAGTGCACTCTGTTCTCTGAAATCTTTTGAACCTGACTCCACGACAGCCTACAAGCTCTCATTTCCTCCTCGCACGATCTCCTCCATGTCACCCTTGCTCCAGGCGCCCAACTCGTCGCTTCCCATATGGGTTCCACTCGAGTACCTGGCCTAGTGCATCATGTCCCCGAATAGTTTCAGGGTATGCCAAATCCATCTCCACTTCCTTCTGCATATTTGTTGAGCAATAGGTTCTTGGTTGGTTCGTTGACAGGCCAGAGTTCCTTGTTGTTTATTCTTTCTGGCAATCCATCTTATCTTCAGTAAGGAGCCAGCGTAGGCAGTCATTGATGAATGCCTGTAGTTTGTTGGAAATCCCTTTCGTAACGCACCAGGTCTCTGAACCATCACACAAAGCACTGACTTGACGTTGGTGTTGAAAATCCGGATCTTGTTGATGCTTTATGCTGAGTGCAGAAGATCCCCACACTGGTTTCAGGTTAGTGAACGCCTGTCTTGCTTTTCTAATCCTGGCTTTGACGTCCTCGTATGTGCCGCAGCCTGTGGTTGAAACGATGCTGCCTAGATAGGTGAAAGAGGCTACTTCCTTTAAGTTTCGCCCATCGATGGTGGTCGAGCTTGTTGTTGTTGCTGTTGGCGGTGTTGGTTGGGTATCTTCATCACCTCTGTCTTCTATACGTTCACCTGAAGTCCCATCTTCGCCGCTCTGCCTCTTCTGTCAACTTGCTGGATTTTGCCTGTAGATCTTCTAGTTTGTGCGACATTAAAAACAAATCATCATTGGCGAAATCCAAATCTTCTAGGTGCCTTTCCGCAGTCCAGCGTATGCTCATCTTCTCGCTCCTCACTGTTTGCTGCATGATCCAGTCCAGTCTTCCACAATCAGGAAGATCATCGGTGATAGTAGGCGGCAGCCTTGTCTTACTCCTGTCTGTTTTCACTTCAAAGGCGTCAATGAGCTTCTCATTGTGAATTACTTGGCATGTGGCGTTTCCATATAGTTGCTGAATGAGACTGACAAAGGTTTGTGGTATTCCGAAGTGTTGAAGCAAATGTCTGCCAAACTGCTTCTCGGTTGACGCTGTCGAAGGCCTTCTCAAAGTCGATAAAGTTGAGGTGTAGAGTTGACCGCCATTCTATACTCTGTTCTATCATGGTGCAAAGCGTTGCAATTTGGTCCGCACATGATTTGTACTTCCTGAATCCAGCCAGCCTGTTCCAGTCGTCGTTTTGAACTCAGAGCATCCTTTAGCCTCTCCAAGATGATGCGGCTTAATATTTTGCTTGCTCCAGGTGGACAGGAGAGTGATTCCGCGCCAGTTCTTGCAAAGTCTTATGTCACTCTTCTTCCAATCGCCAGGTACCTTCCATTCCTTCCACACCTTCTGCAGTAGTGGTGAGAACATGTCCACTGTTGTCTCTTCGTCTGTTCTCAGTGCTTCTGTTCGGATTTCATCTGGTTCTGCTGCTTTCCCGGATTTCAGTAGCGTTTTGGCGTTCAGGACTTTGACATCTGTTGGAGGATTTATGTTCGTTTGTAGTTCTAAGGCTGGGCTGCAGATGGTATTTCTGGACGAAGTGCAGGTGGTGGCCGATTCAAAAGCTTCTGGAAGTGGTCAGTCCATCGTTTTCTTTGTTTCCCTTCTTTATTTATTCAGTTTTCGTCGTCGTCTTTTATTGGTTTCATCTGCGTTGACCTCTTATCAGATAGCAACGTGGTTACTTGATATAATGTTATCAGGTCTGTCCCTCCTACCAACAGCCTGTTCTACTTCACTCGTCAGTGTGTCGTAGAAGTGTCTTTTGTCTTTCCGTGCACTCTTCTTCACTTCTTTGTCGAGTGTTTTATACATTGTGCTCAGTTCCTCTTGTCGTTGTGCATTCTTGCACTGGTTTATCTTCTGCTTCACCATCCTCCTCTCCTCTATCAGCTTCCTTGTGTCCGTCCAGATCCATTCCTTATCTCTTTTCTTCTCCCTTCCTAATATGGTTATGCAGGTTTCTTGCCACATCTCTTTCAAAGACTTCCAGTGTTCTTCCACACAGGTTTCTTCAGGAATGTTCCTCGATGTCTGCCATTTTGTCTTGATGGCTGACCGACGTGAAGATTTGCTATGTAGTTTCGTCCTTCAGTTTCTGTTCTGGATATTGAACTTGAACTATGGTCTATCACCAGCTTCCTTGAAGTCCTTTAACTTGATTTGGAAGGTAGGTTGCTTGCACTAGATAGCGAGAGGTGTGAACCTACATCTGCTCCTCTTCTTGACCTTGTGTCAAGTAGGCTGCGTCTTCACTTTCTTCACATTGAGATGAAGTCGATCTGATTTTAAGTGTGTCCTGGTGTCTGGTGAAATCCAAGTCACTTTGTGGATATCCTTGTGCCTAAACATAGTGCCTCCAATCACCAAATCGTTGAATGCACAGAATTGTGCAAACAGTTCTCCATTCTCGTTCATCCCACCGAGCGCTTCTCGACCCATGGTTAGTTCTCTTCCTGTATTGTCTGCTCCACGCAGTTCGGCATTCATGTCGCTCATTAGAATTTCGATGTCGCCAACTGGAATGGGGTCGTGTGCAGTGCTGATTGCAGTTATCTGTAGAACTGCTGCTTCTTCTCTTGATCTGCATTATTTGTAGGTGCGTGGCGTAGCATTCTACGGTTGTGACTTTCCTTCCTTTTGAGTTACATCTTTCTGTTATGGTCCTGATGCTGGTGCAGATTAATTCTCACTGCATGAGAGCCTTTGATGCTCTTGGAGGTATGACCATAGCTACTCCGAAACTCAGTGTGCTTGTGGTTGTCGTCTAGGCAACCGGAGTAGATTATTGGTTCTCCAGTTGATGGTTTGGGGAGTCCACTTCCATCCCACCTGCTTTCGCAAATTCCTAGCACTTCAATGCGATACCTTCTCATCTTCCTTGCAATCTAGGCAGCCTTGCTAGGTTCAAACATGGTGCGGACATTCCATGTTTCCACCTTTACTTTCGCTTTTATCGAGAAAAGACATATCGGCCAACTGACTTCCAGAAGGTTTTCACCAACTGGCGTCATTTCGCCGGGAATAATTTTGTTTTTTTCTATATTTTGTTGTTCTTTGAAGTTTCTTGAACGATTGGATTTGTTTTACGATGTAGGGTTGCTAGTTCTACGCCCAACTTTCTCTCTTAACCCGGGGTTAGGCCCGGCTAGTAACTAGTGTACTCGTTAAGCAGGCGAGGTTCAAAAGTTAACCAACTAAAATAATATTCATTAGGTGACCTCACTGTATGCATATCATCTAAGTATTCATTTTGTACTAAGTTAAATACGAAAGTTCAGAATCATTAGCGTGATTAGTAACGAAGGATATTACCAAATACTGTCGCAGATCTCAGCGTTGGATGGAATAGGACCATTAATGTTTCGTAATAGAGAAACAACTGAGTGAAAAAAGATAGTTAGACGTTCCATGTTCACTTCCCTTTTTCCTTCTGGTGTAAATAAGTGTCATAGGAAGAGAATAGCAGATTACCCCAGCAAATTCTTGTGAATTCCATATCTCTCAGGCATGATTTCTTATACGTTACCATTGGTGGAAGGTCATCGTGATAGTAGGCGGCAGTCTTGTCTTACTCCTGTCTATCTTCACTTCAAACTCGTCACTGAGCTTTCCATTGTGAATCACATGGCATGTGGCGTCATCATACAGTTGTTGAATGAGGTTGATAAAAGTTTGTGGTACTCCGTAGTGTTGAAGCGGTTTCCAAATTACTTTTTGGTAGACGCTATTGAAGGCTTTTACAAAATCGACGAAGTTGAGGTAGAGAGTTGACTGTTTCAGAAGTTTTAAGTACTATTAATCCCAAGTGCAACATTAATCACTACCTTTTAAGTATCTGCAACAAGAATAACTACAGGATAACATTAATTGATGACTTCTGTTTAGAACCGAATCACTAGACAAAAGGAAATATGATAATTATGAGTATGTACTAGACTAAACAGCATCACGAACAAAATGTCTTCGGCATTAGAAAGATACGGAATAACTCTGACCTTAAATCATACTTTAAATATGTGAAATAATAACAGAAAGTGAAGAGAATATATATTTTCCTGCCAATTTACAATGGGTAAAACTAACATCACATTTTCAGAAGTCTTTGCTTACATTCAGATTCACAATATGTGTCAGTCATTTCTTTCTTTAAGGTCACTTTAGAGTGAAAAATTATTAGTTTCTTACCAAGGTTAATCAAACTGCTTTGTTTCTACTGCATCAGATGCCAATTATTTGCCTATATGCTAGTTCGCTCTACGCGAACTTTGGCTACTTTACTGCTTACTTCACTATTCAGTGGACATTCATACACATCACGTGTAACGAATTATTAAAAATTAACAGAATTCTTACAAGAATTGTCTGTGAAATTCCCCAATAATATAGGTAAAACTGGCATTCACACAAACTTTCTGCCCGCCTCATAATTTTTTGACCTCAGAATGTTATGCCTTAATATGAGTCCATAGTAGTTATAGACGAAACTTTTCGGAAAAGCAAATTTTGTGACAAATTAAGGTTAAGTTGCGTTAATTGTATCTGTGGTTGTGGAAAAAGTCACTTTTTAGGCAGAAGGTTTAGAACTCGTTCTTTACACTCAGATGTGAGAAGTAAGAGAGACTCTCACAGAAATAGCCCAAATTCAATGATTAGAATGTACTATAGTTATTGCATTACGAAGATTCCATTCTTACTGTATTCCTGTAAACACTCTGACCTAATAAAGTCTGATTTCTAATCTACATTTAGTGTTGTTTAGCAGTAAAGCATAGGTAAATCTGTTTGTCTACGTCAATGAATACAGTAATAATTATAGAAATAAAATAGTTGATCTAATTTGCAAGAAAAAATGCCGGTGTATTTCGAATTTTCCTCTCCCCTTACTGAAACATTCAGTTTCACTCACTCCGTGAACATTGTCTTCTTGTGAAAAATGTATGGAAGGATGATCTTTCAGTTCATTGTTACCTTTGTGTTGTGGTTCTACTTTTATATGCTACTTGACGGCTTTTTATTAGTTACTAAGGCTTTGAACAGTTGTTTTCACATTACATAGGCAAAAAAGTACAAATCTTGGTTAAGCATTTGTAATGAAATACATATAAACGGTGATTACACAGATTCACAGATAAATAATTGTGTCCGTTTTACTGTCGATAATCTGCAAACGTATACGTCTATTTTGTCTATTTATCAGTTACTTCAAATGATATTATTGAAAATAAATTGCCAGATTTAAAGTGTGAAATATACTGGTGAACAACTTGAGTACGTAGAAACTACTCAAGCTAATCTACAGATTGCGATAAGCAGGTCAAAGTGATTTATTCATCTGACTGTTGTTTCTTTTGTTTGAGGCCGTGCTTATCAGTCATTTACCGAAACATATTCAGCTCACACAGCCAAATTAGTTCGGATCACCTGAATTTAGTTATTTGACTTGCGTGAACCTTTGTATCTGAATGAAAATGATGAACTTTCAAATGACTACAAAGTACACGGTCCACCTTAACATCTCTCACGAGTGAGTAGATTTTTTTTCCACTACCCAATTTTACTGTCAACTAGAAGTCACCTCTCAGCCAAAACCATGCAGTGTGATCTCTGATACAAAATTGTTACCAGCCAACGAGATATACCACTGAATAACTTGGGTAGTTAGAAACCGACAGATTCAAAGTATGAATGCTTACATGATTATATATATATATATATATATATATATATATATATATATATATATATAATATATATATAAAGAAAAAAATACTCACTCCAACTAATCTAGAGGACTTGGTATGACCTGAAGCAAAAGTGTTTGTTTACCGTGACTTGTTCTCTATGCCAGATGCTTCTCCAATCAAAGGTTCAGTACTTGTTTAGTTCAGAATCAAAAAACAATGCATTGCATTTTGATATCAGGTAATAGGTTTACACTTAGACACAAAAAGATAGCTTTTTAAAGACTAGAAATATGGTGAAGATAAATAAACGTGTTCATAGTACTGTCTATAAGTTAACAGATTGGAAGTGAAAATCCCAATGCACCCTGAAGAATACCCTGAACATATGTTTCTAAGTTCAATTTAATAAAAATGCAGGTGTAACAAATTTCGTATTGTAGGTTCTGATAACTATTTTGCCAATTATTCAGTACAGATGGAAATATCCTGAAATTTTCTTTGTTGTAGATTCATTTTAAGGCTATATTTACAAAAGACATACCAATACATATCTTTTACATTTTGACAGGGTGTAATTTCGCATATTGCTTATGAAGATAATTACACCTTAGACGTTTTTCTACTTCGAATTCAAGCATTAGCCTGATTAGCGGATATTCGTTTATTGTATGTTCAACCGGGACTCAAGAAGTAAAAATGTCTTAAATTATCTTTGTAGTTGATGAGTACGTCAAAATTAGGCAGATTAGGAAACATTTTACTGTTTCTAGTGTAGAAATAAACATCCAAAAGACTTAGTATCTTCATGAAACGTAACAACCTCAGTTTTTTATAATTTAGGTAGGTAATAACGCTTCTTACAAAGATTTTTCGCAATTGGAATTTCTTTGGGAGGTAAGCGTTCTCGAAAATTCCTCATTAGTTTACTCTGTCAGCTGTACTTAAAATACAACTACTATACTTTGATTCCCTTTAAACGTTATAGACTATGATTATATAGTTAAATGACTTCATTCACACAGATTTCATTTAGTTTCATTTTTAATTTTCGGTGATGAAGTAAAGTTTATCACAAATCAAACAACCTTTAATCGGATGG